AGCCATTTAGCTGACTTCGGGCTTCACAGAGGGAGGAACAGACAAAGTGAGAAAATTCGAGAGGGTAGCAAAAGAGTTATTCACAGGTGTAAAGACAGACGGACACAAAGGTAAAGAAAAGGTGAGGTGAGTACTGTGGTAGGGGTCGAATATGACATACAGTGGGGTGATGGTAGTTTGAAGTGAGAAGTCAACTGCCGGTTAATAGACTTTTTTGCGGTATGAGTATACGTTGCCCAGGGTGCACCACGTGGAGGTAAGTCTATCGCACACCCCTTTTTTAATAATACGTAAATAGGAATAAACTGTGCGTCTGGAAGATTTTAAATGACCAAAATTTTCAGGTTTTACTTAAAGAAAAGTAAATAGGAGTCGTTTTTCATAGGGAGAGTAATTGCAAGCACTCCTCAAATACCCACATTCCTTGATAACATCAGCAAAACTGTCAAACAGCAAAAAGTGTCGCAAATCTTTCGAGGGTACAGTATAACCTGTGTAAATGATGGTGGAAATGACATGTACTTGGAATTATATTTAGCAAATACCGTCGCAAAAGTTATAAGGCAATTTCTCAACTGGGCAAAAAAGGTGTGCCCCATCACAAATAAAGCAAACGTTCCCCTAAAATTTAAATTAAAATTTTATTCACTTAAGAAAAAGGAAAGTTAGAAGCCTTAAAATTAATTGAAATACAGCTTTGTAAAAGAGTGTTTGAAAAAGCTTGTTTTCTTTGTTTTCTTTTAATTTTATTTACTACCAAATTCAGTTCATTGTTGGAAAACTTTGAAAATACTTTTGTCGGTTAATTTAAGCACGTATCGCTTTTATTATCAGTTCAGTTGCTATCTACTTAGATTTAAAAAAGAAATTTTTTCACTTTAATCTGTATTTTGTCTTTTTTACGGGGAAAAAATTTAACTTTTCTTATAATAGTTCCCTAATTGAATTGAAACAGTTAATTCCCTCTTTTGTCTATAAAAAATATAAAAACTTATTGTTATGGTCAAAACCTCCTTTATAAATTCTTTTCTCAGTTTAATCGTTCTTTAATTTATTTCTAGTTTATTCCGTGATTAAGATCATTACTTTGGTTCTATTACATAATGAACGTGATTTGAATAAGATTTTATTTGAATAGAATTATTCTGTAGGGCTTCATTGCACTGAAAATATCAAATAAAATGTTGGCATTGTTGTTAAAATTGACAGTTTGTTTGTTTTGAATCTCTTTTTTTTGTTTCTCCTGTAGCAGCGTCACGTATCCAAATAAAGCATCAATGCACCACAGAAAAGGAAAAAATCGCAAACATCGAAACGATTCTTTATCGACTTCGGGAATTAAATGTGCCCATCTCTACTGTTAAACCAGAAGGTATTGGTTCGAATATTGTTTTGCATTTTCTTAATTTATTAACAAAGAAACTTATTTGATCAAAATTTGATGGCTGAAATCGATTTAATGTTTTTATAGCTGAATGAAACATATTTGTTTATTTATTTCAAATGGAGGGCGTTTTGACAGTTATCATTAGCCCTTTAGCTGACTTCGGGCATCCCAGAGAGGAGGAACATCAAAATGGCAAAAAGTCGAGAGGGAGAACAGAATAATGATTCTCAGATGTAAAAGAGACAGGGAGACACAAGGACATAGAAAAGGTCTGATGAGTACTGTGGAAGGGGTCAAATGTGACAAACAGTCGGGTTATAGTAGTTTGAAGTGAGAAGTCAACTGCCGATAAATGGGCTTTTTTGCCGTATGAGTTTACGTTGCCCAGGGTGCACCACGTGGAGGTAAGTCTACTGCGCACCCCTGAATGAAACACATTGAATATGCTATATATACTTGTGAATAATGAATATTTAAATTAAATATATTTCCAATATTTATAAAGTTTTTTATTTCATATTTGTTGTTGTTTTTTATTTGTTGAATGTTCGATTTGTTTTTATCTTGAACTTTTTTCTTTCAGAAATCGTCCAGGGCAACAAGAACAGTATAATGCGTCTACTTTTAGCAATATCAGCGTCCTTCATGCCCAGTCATATCCACGATATTAAACATGAAATCCGTGACAGACACGCAGCTTTCGGTGGGCAGAAAGTTTGGGTGGGTTCGATTATAACTTTTACCAAATCTGCTATTTAGTTTGTGTCTATTCTCCGTTTTTTTAATTTATTGGTTGATTTAGCACATATTTTGAAATTACTATTGATAATAAAGTGATAATATTAATGCAAATCACAGGGCCTACCAGGCAACGATAATCAATTTTACTTTAATAAAATATATTTTCGCAGGTTGATTATGATAAATTTGCTGTCTTTCATATTTCATATAACTGTTCAAAGCAAAACTTTTATTATGAATCAATAGTGAATAAAGGGGAAATGGGCGGTATTTATATAACATTTTTCAAATTTAAAGTTTCATTCCACTACCCTAAATCATTTCGAAACTTTAACAAAATTTACCACGCCACAATTTGTATTTAATTTACACTAAAAATGGTTTATAAAGCACTCGAATGCCTATTCCATTGTAGGAATCAATTAAAGAGTTTTTAATAGTAAATATTATTAATTTATTCACTTTCCTAATGCTGTTTTGGAATTGGAAATCATCTTTTTTTGTTCGAGTGTTCGAAATAATGAAATATATTTTATGTATTTTCATTCTCTTAATTGCAATTTTTTACAATGTCGAGTTGGGTAAGTAAATTATTTAACCGTTTCCAAATGAAAATTCTTAGCACATTTTTCCAGAAATCGAAATTGAATTTCTTTCATTTGCAAACTCACTGCATATAGAAGCACTATTTAATCAAAAAATCGTTAATTTCAATCCTTATTATAGTCTTATTTGCATGCTTTTCAGTCCATATATAGTCGCCTTACAATTGCTCGGACCCATTTACTAACTGTAATCCAACTATTGATTTATTTAAGGAAGTAACTCTTCTTCACTAGGTAAATTTGTGGATATTTTTGAATTTAATATGTCAAAAGTTTACCAAGAAAGTTTAATCAAAGTAATAACCACCCCATGCAATATTTCCAAGGCCGATCCATATCACCGCATGCAAAATAAACTCTCGGATCCAACAAAAGTGCTGAGGCTAATGGCGAAAGTTCTTCCATTTAATCGCCAAAAAAATATTTAAAAATCAGTTATTTTGTATGTAACACCAAGTCTTTGGATAGCCAGTCGTCTTTCATTTGAGTATTGAAATAATTAAATATATTTGCACTTCTATACTAGTTGAAAGACAACACCGAATACTTATTAAGTATTTGCCAACTTAAAAAGCTTATTCGTAATCAGTTTGAAATTGCAAAAGTTTACTGTATAAGACAGCCTCCCTTTGAGTTTAGAATGCCATTTTGTAGAATCACTAATAAGGCAGACGAAATAGTTGGAGTTTAAAAGAGTTCTCAGAGGAAGCAAAATTGCTAACCATTTTATGCAATGACTTTTAGACTTGTAGAACGCAGTATTCTCCTTCAAACATTGAAGCTTCAGTCAATTCGTATGGGGTAACGAAGGAAAAGCATCCTAATCACTTAACCTCTATTTAACTCCATAATTTTTTAATATAGATCTAGGTCTACTTAAATGTTATTAGTAAAAGTTTATTTTTTACAGCATCATGTAACATCAATTGGCTCAGAAGCGACCCTCGCTCAGCATCGATTTTTCCCAACGGCATATCGAATTCAACCCATCACAATCCATAGGCTTGTTCCAGCAGTTCGGCCTCCACTTTTACATGTTGCAGCGGCTCCTGTGCAGGCCCAATTCCAACAAAGGTATTCAAAGAATACCTCCTCATCTTCCTTGGCTCGAAGAATCTCAAGTCATATTTATAGTCGAGAACACCGAGGAAGATCACTTCAAAAAGACCCACCTGAAATACAGAGCCGATTGAGGTCTTGTGAGAATCTGGTACTGAGAGAAGAACCTGAGAATCCCATAAGAACCTCCAAGTCACTGAACGCTCTCCATGGAAAGACATTTGTATCAAAATTGGTGATTCCTCAACTGAGAAATGGGAGAAGTTTCTCTCTAGTAAATAGAAGGTTAGTTGGATCTTTAACGTTAGAGAGCTTTTCCTATATGTATGTGATGAAATCATTTCTGAAGTATTGGTATCATCGTTATTCTAAAAAATACTATATAATTTCTCGCACTTATTTGGCTCCAAATAAATAACTGGGAATAAAGTATTTGTTTATTTCAAATGGCAGGCATTTTGATAGTTATCATTATCCCTTTAGCTGACTTCGGGCTTCATAGGGAGGAGGAGAAACATCAAAGTGACAAAAAGACGAGGGGGGGGAATAATGAATCACAGACAGACGCAAAGGCAGAAAAAAAGGTAAGATGAGCACTGTGAAAGGGGTCGAATATGGCAGAGTGAGGTCATGGTATTTTGAAGTCAGTGGTCAACTGCCCGTTTTTAAACTTTTTTGGCGTATGAGTATACGTCGGTCAGGGTGCAACACGTAGAAGTAAGTCTGTCACACACACCCGAGAATAAAGTATAAATGAAACAATATCGATTTACTAAATGAAGCAAAGAACGAGTGAGTGTATTGCTTTTCAGCGAATTTGATACTTCCTAGCATAAGGTTTACTGAGGTCATTGAATTCTTCGTAGGAACTCTGAGTAAAAGTGCTAGTTAATTTAACGAAGAGTGTGCTACTTAGGGCATTAAAAGAATATGAGAGGTTAAAAAAGGTACTTTCCATAAGAGATAGCGCATTGGACTTGGAAATTATCGTAGACAACCTATGAAAATAAAAACTGAAATTTTCTTCCACTTTCCAAGATATGGCTTTATAGGGTGGGAGAATTTATGGATCGCTTTATTCGACTATCTATGGCATTTTTATTGGATAATCCATACATGCAATTGTTACCTTTCGGTACTTAGATCAAGTGAAATATATTTCTGTTGTTTGCCATCTTAATCCTGAGAACCGTTGGCAACTATTAAAGTCAGTTCAAAGTCAGTTCCTTAAATTAAGACTTTTTGTTAAAAAGTTAAAAGTTACCTACACAGCTGGTCTAATTGAAACTACCTGAATGCGGAAGTACTGAATTATAAGCGCTTAACAAAATATAATGTCATATAATGATATTGCTGTTATTATAGAGGGTATGGATAATTATTCAGTAGCATTTGTGAATTATTTTGTATTGGCTCTCTTGAATATTAAGGCTGTATCAGATTTATAATATTAAGGTTTTCATGTCTAAGTCGCATTTGTTTACTTAATTCTTATCTCTTTTTAATTTATTTACCAGTTAAGACTATCTTTTTGGTTATTTGATGTGTATAAATACTTTTAGTAAAATTCTCAATGAGAAGGAACTATTTTACTGCCAATAGACTAAAATTTTAGATGGAATTCACTTCACTTTAGCGATTATTCATTAAATCATTACGTAATGTTCAATCAAATTATTTATCATTTCAGGCTTTAATGTCATTCACATAGCACATCTGGATTACAAATGACGCATTTTTCTATTAATTTTATCCATAAGTTATGCCAGTTAATTTAGATTGCCATTATTTTTAATAATATTGGTAACCAATAATGCATATTTTTTTAAAGACCTTGATCAGTCATGTGTTTTCTTTCAAAGGTTAGTCACAATTTTAAATGTATATTTCAACCCAAATCAATTTACTCATATCACACACGGTATCGATATTCATTTCCAAATTTACTGCGATTGAATTGCAGAAAACAAATCTTTAGTACGCATTGTCAATATTTGATCTCACACTTCATTTTAGCTGTGCAATCTTAAAGCCTCTTGAAGTATTTCTGATTTTACTGGTTAAACATCAATGAAAATCGATATTCGAGGCTAATACCCTTTTTAAAGTGTTGAAAAGATGGGAAATATATATGTACGGAATCAATGAATCTGTTATTTTAGCTTATTAATTTTATCTAGATATCATATCTCTGTCAGCAATGATAGGACAAATGAGTGAGTCAGGATTTCGGTAATTTCATCAATTAATTTTGCTCTAATTAGCTTATGAACTTAGTAATCTGTAATAAGAATAATTAACCCAACGGCTTGTATACTCTTAACATCTAACTTTAATGCTCTAAGTATATGAATAGGCTATCAATAAATGCTAATTGTGATCCAGTGTTCTAAAAAATTTCTATATCTTAGTACATTTTGTCAAAGTAAAAACTTAGCTTTGAAAATCTGTTGAGACGGTTCACTAATTTAATTAACTCTTGGCCTCATTCACAAACCTGTAATGTTTTGTTTTATCTTAGGTCCTGGTTGCTCTTAAATTTTTCGTTATTATGTTGCTCTTCAATTTTGAGATATTCTTTATCCCCTCTTGACTCTTTAACCACTGAGACAGGTTTCTTGGGCCTTACCTCTCTGTTCCCTTTTACATTATGTAACATTTCAGTGACTTATAAGGGCATTGCCTTGAAAAATATTAAACCTCTACAGTTGATTATTTCAAAGCTGAAGTCTCCTATAATGCGCCGACTGGCTACTCTTGTCGTTCAAAGTCAAAATGATCCTAAGTGGAGATAGCCACTCAATTAAGACAACTTGCTCAATATATCCTAATTTGGTGATCAAAGAAACATGTCAGAGCTCAGGGAATGAAATCGTAATTTTAGATGAGCTTGAAGTAGAATGCGAAATTTGATTTGGGTTCCTTTATTGCTAACGAAATATGCTTTGTTCTCCTTTGAAACTCTACTCTGTTTTCAGTCTGGATAACATTTTATTTTGAATATTAATTCAATTCAATTGTATTGCATAGGATCGCTCTATTGACAAAATCATATTGGATCTATTGTAACTAGATTTCTCAAATACATAATAAACGTTTTTTGCGGTTTATACTTTTAAGATGTTTTCTTATTTCAATATTATTTTATCTCCACTTAAAGTTGTAATGTATTTCATTTAAGTGTTTTAATGACCTTTTCGGCCTAAAAATACATTTAGGAAGAACTATATGATCTTTGTTTACAACAAACTGACCGAGTTAAGGAAATGGGCTTAACATAATCCTAAGCCACTGGGTGTTTTTTCTTCCAACTACTGAACTGACATCTGATCCAGTCTCTTCTTTGCCTTGCTCTTATTGGTTGCCATTTCCCAAGGTCGCACTTCTATGGGTTAGTGTGAAATGCAGCAGACGCATCTCTCGCTATGGCATAAACACAATCACACGATAGCAATTTAAACACTGCCTAAAATGACTGTATTTCTAACCTCGTGTTTCACCGGAAATTTTGGAAAACAATGTTCTACTCCAATAGAGGAATATTATGAGTTCTCCCCTGCGGGAAAGATACTACATCGAAGTGAGAATTCTGAACAAATTACGGCAGGTTCATCTTGCCCTAAAAGCGATCGATACGGTGAAAAGCTGGAACACCAAAGAGGATATAAATGGCATCTACTAGATGGCAAAAATATGAGTTATCAATCGATTTGGAATAGAATAACGAGACTATTACGACTCGAAAAAATCAATCTTAAGTGAGTTGTCCTCCCATTTAATTAAAGAAAGTGATCGATTTTCTTGTGGAACAATGATTTATAATTACTTTATTTTTAAAGATTGAACTCTTGTGCGGATTATTTTTATAATATCAGAATTAGTCTTAGTGGGCGTCTTTTAAATTTATTAATTTTTCTTTCAATATTTTTGAACGAAAGATTGCTTTGTTTTCTATAGGCAATGAGTCACGAGTGGATCGGGTGACTTAGTGTGATCCAAAGTGAACGATATTGGAAAATGTGTTTGTGAAGACTTGTTTTCGATTTGAATTAGTGATTTTAGCATGGTGAACACAAGAGCCATTTACTTTAATCTCTTTTTTCAAGGTTATGCTAGGTTTATTTAAATCAAGTTTATACTTCCCATTTTTTGAAATCTCTATTAATTTGTGCTTAATATTTAACTAATAAATTGATTGATTACCTAACCTAAAATTAATTAATATTGCGAAATAAAGTTATGTTTCAAATCTATTGTATTCCCCTTATTATTTTTCAAAACCTACTATGTTATTGTGACACCTTTGACATTTTCACTAATTCCTGATTGAGGGATTTTTTTTATTTTATTCTTGCGAAAATTAAGAGCTTAAAAATGTGATTTTTCGCACATAATAGTTTTATTCAAAGCATTGTGATTTTTTGAGATGCTGGCACCTTATTAAAGTTATTGAGTATTAATTAACCTATAATACTTTTAATTGAGTAGTTGTATTGATAAAAATTTTTTGAAACGATTCATCATTTGCCGGGTCAGTAAATGAAAAAAATTTGGTTATTCTACTAGCTTTAATTTGCCTATTTTGTCTCAAAATGAAACTTTTCAAATAAGGTTTATAGATGATTCAGACATTACATCGACCTCGTGTTTTTGGAAAAAAGTGCATATATACCAATCATATAATGTTTTGTAAAATAAGGAATTCCCGAGTCTAGACAAGCATCTGAAAAAATATGTGTAGACGATAAGTTATTTTCAATGAAAATGAAAATTAAATATGCCTTTTGTCAAATATAATTCAAGAGGTCTGAATTCAAATAATATGCTAATTATAAATAAATATGAGTATTCTGTCTCTTCAATGCAGTGAGTGGCAATTCTTTCATACTTTCTCACTTTTATTTCTGAAGTGTGTGCTACCTAAATTTTGTCAAAAAACTCATATTGCTTGATTACTTTTATACACTTTCGTTTTTTTTGCTTTTTTTCTAGCTCAAACTCAATTTCATTGAAACCATCTACAATAACCAAGAATCAGTCCGTATATGGCGGTTTCGTAAATCATGGGTTCTCCGATTTGCCCACTGAAGCTGTTGCGAGTGAGCAATCTGTCCAGAAGTTGCCTCCAACGACCCAAATTGCAAAATTCCGAATCGATTTGGCCAACGTTAAATCCGACCTTCTTCAACTTCAAGAAGTGGTTGGTTTTGATAAAATTGGTGTCAACTATCAATCAAGTATAAAGAGACTTAACTATGACGTTAAAAAGTTTGTTATGGCTTTTAGAGTGGTCATCATTTTTGACATTTTTACTTTTTTCACATTTAAAGGCATCCCATGACAACTGGAATTTAGTACCACGCCCATTACACTTTGTGTTTTAGTTAATATCGTGCAAATGTGTTTTGACTTTCATGGCAGCTGAATTAGAATTAAGAGGGTCTTTAGCCTATCAATGTTTTTCTGCAAATCATCACGTCTGCTTTCTCCCTATAATGCTACTCATCCAAATTTCAGCGAAATCATTCTTCTCGAATCTCATTTTTAGAGCAGCATATTTAAAGAGGAAGCAAAAGGCAAACTAATGATGAGATTAAAACGTGAAATAAGAGATCTGACATGGAATTCGAACCGTAGGCGTGGTGGTGGTGTAGGGAGATCTGAAACTATGCGCGTAAATGCATGCCAATTAAGAGTTTGAATAGTAAAAGTGTTGCATCGAATCGTCAATTGAGTCTACCACTGAATTACTTACCCGTTCCAATGTATGGGCTTCGACTTATTGGAACAAGCTTCGGTTATTGACAATTAAGTAAATACTAAGCAGTGGGATAATTCCAATAATATCGAAAAATATTTAGACAATTAATTTCTTCTCGAATATCCATGAAAGTTGGTTAATAATTCACATTTTGGTTATCTATTTTCCTTATTTGTTTTCCTTTATCTAATTTAATCACCTTTGTCTCTGAGTTGTAAAAATTGATTTTCTGTTGATTTTAGCTCTCAACGAGCACTGTAACAGAAAGCGGGATCACTCAAACTGTTTCCGACTATACCCTATCGGTAAGATCTAAAGCAACACTTCTTGAAATACATTATAACTGGATTTTCTTTCTTTTTAAAATACAACATTCGTTAATAAAACGTGATGACTTCCTTGACTGCGTAAAACTGCAAAACATTTCCCGAATACTAAATTATCTACCTCCCCCTCTATGGGGTCATCAGATTCGGAGCATGAGCGATTGACATTTAATCTTAACTCGATAATTACAAGAGGGTCAGGAAAGTTTCCATGAGGATTGATAGCCCATCAAATTAATTATCCTCAACAGTCGAGAAGATTCTGGCTAATAAATTTTCAACTTTTCATATACTCCTAAAGAGATCTGAGGCTGTTGTATTCGTCTCGAACCTAGCCATGGACAATTTCCTTTTGTATCCTATTGCATTTTATTAATATTCATGTTTACTTATGGTTTTTGGTATTTAAAATCTCCTTGCAGAAATTCATGTCTATTTTACTAATCGTTTTCCCATACTTGGCCCAACAGTAGGCTGACGTTTTTTCAGCTTTCACGCGAGGGCTGCAATATAAAATTAATGATAGGTGATGCATTGCTTGGATTTTATAATTTAGGAATGTGCTTCCATGAAATTAACTAGATTGTGATTTAGAAAAAGTTGGAGTGAAATCTCATCAATCTACCCATAAATATGAATGCTTTTAATTTTAATTTTCTTCACCTTCATACCGAAATATCTGTCTATTTCAAAACTACTCCCTCCATCGTGTTTTAGAATACATTAGCAGAACAGAATATGAAAAATGGATTCTGCCAAAATTCCGGAACTAATTCAATCAATGATGAGAAACTTTCAAAGTTAGTTTAGAATTTTGTTTAAAAGTTATTTTATTTTTCCCCATATATTAAAATAAACAATGCTTTGAAAATAAGTATGTAATATTTTAAGTCCACAGCTGTATAGAATAGAAATGAGGTGGATATGGTACTTCGGCGGTTCATTGATCTTCACATTTGCCATGTCAGAGATCATCAATTTGATTCACATCAGCGCATATACAGTTTGTAGATTGGCCAATCACACTAGTTGGTTCTGGCTAACATTAAGGGTGACCGAATTCGAGTACTTCATCATCATTGTTGTCCCCCTGCCCAAGGCGAACATCGGACTAGGCTTCTCCTCTAAATGTGCATGAGAGTTAAGATAGTGAATTGGCTGTCAATACGATTTCCATCGACCTAAAATCATGCTCTCTTAAATTTAGATCCACTTCCAATGAAATCGAAAGCTTACATCGACTTTTGAAGGTCCGAACAGAAGCCATGGACGCTTGTTTGGTAAGTTGAAAGAATTCATCATTATTTGACTTATTTAAAACCGAATTCGTTAACCAATAATAGAACCAAATGTGCACCAAACGTGTTCTTTATCAATTGCATATTAATTATTCAGTCTCGCATGGACTTTAAAAATGGAAATATTCAACAAAAGTAGGGTCCTTCATAGGTGTTGTGATGATTCCACAAACACATCATTCTTGCTTGACACTTTCATTATACTCTCCCATTACAAAGGTTGTCAATTAAAGTTTTAACTCGTGTTGTAATAGTTGCTATTGGAGCTTGCACTTGTTTCTTTCTACTTTTTTAACATACTTTCTCTTAAAATTTCTTAATGAACAGAAGGGTCAATTTTAGTGGTACCTTCTACTTCCTCAAGTTCTGTAAAGTGAGTAGTATTCATCTATTGTTAAGGCATTTTTTATAAACTATTAAGCAGAAATAAGCCATTTGTAATGACTAAATCCATAAGCAGCCTATCGTCTTCAGTCTCCTCTCCTCTAATACAACGTTACATCACCCACTTTTTTGTTGCACCTTAGTTCGTGTATTTGGAATAATTCAATGTCTCTGCTAGTTTTTGCAATCTTACTCTGGTATTGCTGTAACTCTAATTTCATTAGAAAAGCTACTCTGCTTGACCTCTAAATAGTCACAATTTCCAAGATCCAATAATAATGCACAATTACCTATTTGGTAGGCTTTACTCAAACCTTTTTAATAGTTTGTATTGATGATAATTATTAATTCGTACTAAAAATACCTTGATTAGGTTAACGCTGACAATGAATAAATCATAAAACCCGAAAAGCAAGATAAAATAATTTTTCTGGAATTTTGTCACAAGTTAAGAGAAAACAGCAATTAATGCTCATGAAAATTGGTAACAAAAATCTGTTCGATGTAGATAAAATTTAGGTATTCAAGAAGAAAGCGAATCAAAATTAAAAGAATATTTAAATTTAAATACAAATGTTTTGTATAGATATTAGCTATATATCTATTTATTTATTTCAAACCGCAGACGTTTTGATAGTTATCATTAGCCATTTAGCTGACTTCGGGCTTCACAGAGAGGAGGAGGAACATCAAAATGGCAAAAAGTCGAGAGGGGGGGGGGGAAGAAGGGTGATTCACAGTGTAAAAGAGACAGACACAAAAGCAGATAAAAGGTAAGATGAGTAATGTGAAAAGGGACGAATATGATATAGAGTGGGGTCATGGTAGTTAGAATTCAGAAGTCAACTGCTAGCTAATAGACTTTTTTTGCCGTATGAGAATACGTTACCCAGGGTGCAGAGAGAGCATTACCTAAAGTGGTACTAGGCACATTCTCATTTAGCTGTAAACCATCAGTGAAAACAAAAATCTGGTGATTGGCAAATGAATGCAATTCATCGAAAGTGACATTAAAGATTAAAGTTATTAACTATCAAATAGCGTTCGCATATTTCGCTGACATCTCCAACATTCAAGATTATCTTAATCTCGAGCAATCGAACCATTTATTCACATTGCATCATCGATATTTTTCTTTTTTGTTTAGTAACCCAACTTGATTCATTTCGATTTCTCCTAATTCCCATTCAATACACTTACTAATCATCCAATTTGATTCGTCGGATTACATTTTCTACTTTTTCAAGTCTACGTCTGCTTATTTTCTCTTGTACATTGAACGGTTTAGAAAGTGGGAACTCCTTGTTATCAAGCGCACTTCAAAATTTTCTGCTTCATGTTCTAGCTCTGCCTACTTTTACAAAACCACTTATCTTATTTTTTAACCAAAATGTATCTTTTTCATGGTTCTAGAATGGATAGCAGATTATCTGTCGGAGTAGCAAATGTTTTATATGACTTGCACTTTGGAATGGCTAACTGACATAAAATTTCACATTTACTGAAGCTATAAAGGAAAACCCGTTCGATTTTCAAAGTGGTATCTGTTCAAGTAATGTTTATAAGACAATTTACCATTCTCCTTATTAGATTACCACCTGGTATGTCTGTTTAGTTCTCACAATTACATGGAACTAAATGACTTTGCCCCATCTATATGAAAATCGATATTTCCTTCAAGAATTTTTCATCGCTTTTACACCTCTGTCACCGAGGTCTTTTCATTTAGGCCGATAATGCAGAATTGCGACAAGCCGTCGGTGAGTTGACAAACTCTCTAAAGCAGCTCCAAGTGGAGAATAAGAGCCTCCGGCAACGGTTGAATGAGAATATGGGACCTCAAGCGAATAATTCCTCAAACGGTCCTCAAACTTGGAGTTTCAGTTCAGAGAGTATTCCAAATACCCCCTGTAGCCCTCCGGAGACCACCCAACAGACAAACTTTGCTCTAGTCAGTGGACAACCTTACTCCCCACTGTCTTGAACAATGCAAGTATGCATCTTTAGATGACATTAGTTTTATTTCCCATTTTACCTTCAATTTCGAGGATATTCGGCGTTGGTCTGATTGGTTGTTTATTCAATTTGTTTGAGTCCATCCAAGTATTCCTAATGGGATTTAATTAGCTTTACAATATACGAAAAACAGGCGTGTTAATTATTATTTCCTACAAAATATGTGCTCAGATTGCATTATTTTGAAGAATTAATGAAAAATGAAATGCAAATTCGGCCTTTATTGATCACTGAAATATTTCATGGTCATTTTGACCATGTTTTAGAATTTTTTATATTGACCAGTTTGAAAGCAAATAATATATTAGGTAGACTTAACCTCTTATTTGTGTTTCTAGATCTCCGTATCTTCACATCTTCTGATGATTCAACGTCTTTCAATTATGTACACAAATGTCCTAGCGTATCATTCAAAGCTTCCCCCCCACACCCACTGAACAAAAATCGATAAATATTGATTCCCTCTATTCACTTCGTTCTGCATGAAGCAATGACTATTTCACTGTATTATCACACAGGCACCTAACATTGACTCTTTCAATATGGTGCAAATTGGTTATTATTTATCAAGTAAAGGATGGTATTTAAAAACGTAAACTTTCAGTTAGTATTTTCTACCAAATTCTTGGCTATTTTTCGTAAAAGCCTTAATATTTATTGTTTGAATGCATTAAAGATATTAACTAACAGTGATGCAGGCTTAAATTTTTTAACAAACGGAGGTTTGCAGCGGCTTAATTATCTTAAGCCAAATCTCTATTATTAAACCTAAAAACTTAATTATTAGTGTAATGAAACGTAATTGCTTCGGAATTGCTGGGTAAATCTTATGGAAACCTAAAGAAGGATATTTATTGCTTCGGGAATACCTATTGTATAATTGGATGCAAATTTATGTAAAGTATTTTCAACTCGAAGGCTAAACATGAAATCATCAAACTGATTTTTATATGGAATTAAATTATGCAAATCGCAGTTTTATAAATTTTCAATCAAAATTGAGGGGAATTGATGATACAGGCAGAGTATTCGCTAACGTGTAGGATTAAATTTTAGTCACAGGAATGAGAGTAGTGGATACTTTCGTTACGGAAAACAAAATAGAAAATGTTCATTCGTAATTCATACTAAAAAAAGCTTGTTCTGGTTACATCAGGTATAAAATTCTATTAACTGAGGGGGGGGGGGGTAATCGATGTTGGTGGTGCTATGTCCTTGAAATGTGGAGTGCAAATACCGCCTGTCTGAGCAAATTAACCTCATGCGCTCTCAAACAGACTCGAAGGTGTGGCCGTGCTACGTGGTGCAAAGACCAATAGTCGGTGCATTGTTTAACAAACCCAAAACCACAGTGGACCCTATTCCCATCGCACGCCCTATTACCTCAATATTGATGAGGTAACTTGGCTTATTTCCGGAGTCAATCATAACAGGAGATTATGGGAGAGATTTCTGGAATAAATTGTGGATTTCCACAATATAAGCTATATTTTTTGTCTAAACAGGACGATACATCCCCCCTCAATCTACAGAAATATTTTTCTATAAATTCCTTACTAAATTACGTTTCTTCTAATCCCAACATCCAAAATTATTCCTTCAGGTCAATGTCACACATCAATTTACTCTTTAAATATAGCGGAAAAGAGAACCAATTAAGTTTATCCATTGCCGGTAAATCATATAATCACATCCATCAAGATTTGCGGTGCTATGTCTACAGCACAGGAGTTAGGTTATGAGGTCAGGGGTTCAATGCCCATTGGTGCAAAATTTTGTTAAAAAAAGTCGTATCATTTTCTTGGATTCTATATCTGGCTGCTGAAAGAAGAATTCTGAAAAGAGGCTTTCAGAATGAGTCTGAGGTATATATATATATATATATATATATAT